CTAAATGATTCTATGATTCTAAGTCTGTCTCTGATCATTTTTCAGGCATTTTTCAAATCCCAACCACTTCTGTAAGTTTTTCTTGTAAGAGAAATGGTTTCCTGCCCATTTATTGCAAATTAATCTGTCATTCTGTAGTAGATAATGCTTTGTGCTTTTGGTCCAAATACATCTAGGTGAATGCATCATCCATAACACAAACAAAACACAACCTTTAAAATAAGTCCTACTTGGAGTGAGACTCCTTTTCCTTGGGAGAAAAGGTAGCCAAGGCTACTGGACAGATGTGGTTGATGCAGCTGCTCAGTCCAGATAAATTACAACAGCATGGTAGGAGTGCTTACTAAAAGCCTCAGGCATAAATAAAAGGCATGAGTCAAAGAGTTTATGCTGTATGTCAGTATGTGTATGCTGGGTGCAGGGGTGTGAAATAGAGCACACAAGATCTCATCTTTGCTCTGACTTGATTTCCTTGCTTATTCACACGGCTGTTAGGAGTTCTCTGTTCCCTGCGGATAGGATACAAAGAGGCTGAAAAGATTCTTAAACCAATTGTTAATTTGCACAGATCTGGCCATTGTGCAGTGCCAAGCACTGGTTTGGGAACTGGGAATCTCAGCTTTGTCACTGGTGTGTTAAATAGCGTATGGCAAACTGGTTGCCCTTCGCCTTAGTTTCTTAGTTTCTACAAAGTGGGGTAAGTTATCTTGAATTCCTTTCCAGGGTACTTTAGGATTTAGTCATGTCAAGATTTTTATGTGTAGAGTGAGCTGATGGACTGCATGTGTTTCAGAGCTGTACCACCAAAGCCATATCTGTTTTTGGCAAGATCTTGCTATTGACCAGTGAATATTTGTGTCTGATATCATCTCTCTTCATCTGATTTGCAGACTTTACATGTCAGCTTGCATATAGAACCTGCTGCATTATAACACGTAGACACACCTTCCAAAGGGGATTGCTGGTAACAAATGAAGATCGGGAGTCACAAAATATATCTGTTTCACATAAATAGTTATTCTGATGCATCCCTAAATCTCGCTGTTCTGGGCGTAAAGACTTGCATGTAGCAATATGGATAAACAATAGCACAATTAATTAGATCATTGTCTACTGTGTCATGTGTGGATCCCTTGCTAACTGGAAAGTGTATCATTAGCACATGATACTGAAACACTGGGAGAGGTCAAAGTTGCACAAACCAAGGTACAAGCTTGAAGGGTGATACCATGATTTGATCTCTAAATCTTTCTTGAAGGTAGAGAAGGCTTTGCCAAATGTTTTTGTGCCAGTGTGGAGAAGCTATAATTCTTGGTCAAATTTATTTTCCTCGCCTGGCACTCGGTTCTTATAAGGGCTGGTCCTCTTGTTATTCTGTAATAGATTAAGAGGCCAGAAGCTTTTACTGTAAAATGAAAACAAGGGGGTTTTGATATGTGGAGCATGAGTCTGTAGAAGGATGTACAAAAGAAGAAGTGATACTAACAGACTGAAGATTTTCCTTGCAACAGAGTTACAGATGAATATGAGCTCAGTAGGTTTGCGTTTCCCCCAGTTAGAGGATTTTGTAACCTTTGTCACTCATCTCTAGCAAAATAGACACACAGCACAGAGCAACTGAGGGAGTATCTTTTGGGCAGAATAGGAGGACGACACTTTCAGGCTCACTAGGCTTGAATCAACAGCAGGATGTTCAGAAAAGAGATTTTGGAGACAGGCTGAAAGATTTAATAGAATAGGGTACGTCTGGATTAGAAAAAGAGGTCTGTGTGTCTTTTATTTATAGTAGCATAAGTGCTTATGCAAAGGCGCAGGCAGAGGGTGCAGGGAGACGAAGGAGCCCTGTCGGCACCCAGCCCCATCGGCACCCGCCGGAACTGGGAAGGAGCCCCCCAGGTACGTACGTGTTACAGGAACAAGTAGTGATGGGAGTACAGTTAGGGGGTGCTGTAACTACTAAAGATAGGGGAAAGGTGAAATTTCAAGAAGAGGGTGATTATGATAAAGGTGTCTGATGATCACAAAGAATGAAGGTGGAAGACCAGTTCTGAGAGTTTAAGAGGGCTTTTGGCCCTCAGGATTTTGTCAGGGGCCGAATCTGGATTAAATGGGATCTAGAAATGGAGGTGAAGGAGGACTCCTGGCTGTGCGTAAAGCTGAGCAGGTGGGAGCAGAGGTGAACGGCAGTAGCTATAGAGAGGTCAGGGATGGTGTTTTAATATTGGGAGTTCAAAGTGTGTTGTGAAGGAAGAAGAACCAAAGAGTTTAGGGAAGATCTGAGGTAACATATTCTTGGGCAAATAAAAGGAGTTAGAAAACTAAAAACTTGATCTTTGAAAGCAAAGGTTATGTGAGAATTGTAATCAGAAATTGGTAGTGAGATGAGGAGGTAAGGAAGATTACAAGCTACTAATGAGTATGTAAAGAGTCTTGTGCTTTTCTGTTAGAGAGTTAACTAGTCCTGTAATGGTAGCCCAGGGAAGTGAGGAGTATACCCTGAGAATTTAGGAATTACTTTTTTCTGCAACAATGGCTGGGAAGTGTTGAGGAGTTGTAATTTATTCTAAATGATGTTTACATCCTAGAATAGTAACAAAAATCCTTGTTATATCTTCTTCCCTTCCAACAGTTTTTCTTCTTTAGAATGCCCAATTACGTTTAATTTTAATATTTCAATGTTACCCTCAAAGTTCTTTGGGGATTTTTAGCCTCTGTCAGTTTTCTTGGTGAACTGTGTGGAGTTGTGAGAAGATGGTATGGAATGATTTTTCAGCGTTCTTCTTTCGCAGAGTTGCTTCTCTTTAGCTACTTACTATTTGTCTCTTTACTTATTCGTAATGACCTTGTAAGTGTAAACTCTGTGAACTTCTGTCAGCAAAGACTGACATAAATTTTCACAAACACAGTTTTGGAAGTTAATAAATACTTCTGTTTCTTTTACAGATGAGATCCTTTTGTGCTCTTGTTTTGCAAGAGGTGGTCAAAGGAAATGGATAGCTATTCTGACTTCAACGCAGAGAACCTCTCATCTTCAGCTAATATGTCTGTTTCTTTGCCTGGACAAGTTGGACTCAATGCCACTGGTGGTACTCCTTCTATGTCTATAAGCAGGCTTTTCCCAGCCTTGTTAGAATGCTTTGGAATAATTCTTTGTGGCTACATAGCTGGAAGAGCCAACATTATCACGTCAACTCAGGCCAAAGGACTGGGAAATTTTGTGTCCCGTTTTGCACTCCCAGCTCTACTGTTCAAAAACATGGTGGTGCTTAACTTTTCTAATGTGAATTGGTCCTTCCTGTACAGTATTTTAGTTGCCAAAGCTGCTGTGTTTTTCTTAGTCTGTGTTTTAACATTGTTGGTAGCCAGTCCTGAGAATCGATTTAGCAAAGCAGGTTTGTTTCCAATTTTTGCTACACAAAGCAATGACTTTGCACTGGGATATCCAATAGGTAAGTATGTTTTCTTCTTTAAGATTGTTTTTCAGTGTTCTTGATGTGTTTGCTTTTAATTTTGTGCAATTTGAAATTAACTTCTGAACTGAAGTTGTGAGCTGTCAAAGCCAATTCTCAAGTCACATTTCTTGACCTTAAACCATGTGCTTTTTAGTAAGGGAAGAAAACTATCAGCTTGCATGAATGAGACAGAATTTAAAACAATCAAACAACTGGCATCTATAAATCTCTTTGTATTAAAGTAAATCAGATTTGGAAAAAAAAAAAAAAAAAAACAGAATTGGCATAAGTTACCTTACACTTATGGCAGGCAATTTTCTTTGCCAGAGTTTCCCTCATGACCAGAATTCCTTGCTTTGCAAAGTGTGAGCCTGTATCCGTGGCCTCTGAAACAGCTGTAGTGGTTTTTTTACTGTTTTGGCATTATCTTTTGGTTTGGATCAAAGAAAACATCTAGCCATAATGTTGGTGCCTCCCAGTTGCAGAGTGTGTGACAAAGTTTAAATCTGTTCAGAAGAGGCTTCTGATTTTTGTGCTACCTAACAAAGTTTACACAGCAAATCATGTTTTATCCCTTAATCTTTATTCTGTTGTGGCCAGTAGACATGCTCTGCGATATAGTCTTGGAAGAAGTCAGTCTTGTCTTTTAAAAGCAAAATTGTGGTGTGATATGTGGTAACCTGGATTTGTGTGTAATGAATGAAAATTTTATGTGGCTGCAGTGCCATTCTTGAGATGTGTAACTAACCACCAGTCTGGTAGAGCTATAAACCAACCAGACAAAACACAAAGAGGCATTTGGAGTATGACTTGTACAGCTGTGTACTCTTGTTCTTGTAAGCCTGTATTCTGAATTACAAATAACATCAGTTATTAAACTTGTTTTACAGATTGGGATAAAATTTATTGCATTCTTCCCCTTAGATAAAAGGGAAGAAGACTTTTTTTTTTCTTTTCTTTTTTTTTTTTTTTTTTTTACAGGTTTTCCTAATGGTATGTTGATATGCCTTTAGCCATGTGTACTGTGATACTTAGGAAGTGATCTGGAGCTGCAGCAGGCTTCTCCTGCCTGCTACTGTCCCAATTGCAGCACTTTTTACCTGCCTTGAGAGGCTCTTTTGTGCCACTGTAGCTTTCAGTGCTGCGTCTTCCCAGGCTGACCAGAGTGGCTGCTTTAGGAATGTGTACTGCAGGCATCAGGACCTTCAAAATACACCTTGACCGGGAGGCATTCAGAGGGGATTCCTGGGCTATGTTTTATTTGTTTGCTGCTCTCTGAAGAGCTCCCTTTACCTCTCAAATTCTCTTAAGATCACTCTTATCATCTAGACAAGGCTAAGAACAACAAAAAAAAAGAAAGCTAGTTTGTTCTAGCAGAGCAAAAAGCAAGGTATTTGATTACAGAATTGAAAATAGAGTTACAGAGGAGAAGCTTAAACATGCAATTCCAGATTATACATAACAACAAGCAGCTCCAACAAGCAGTATTTTAGATTACTTGAAGAGCTGGCTATTTCTTTCTCCCTATTTCAGGGCAGCATGCTCAGGAGAATCATGGGTCTTTCTTACTCTCTTCAAATTTGCTGGATGTGTGTAACATGCAGACAAACGCAACTGCAAACTTTTTCTTTCCTAGGTGAAAAATACTGTTTCCTTCAGTTGCATCTGCTGAGGTTTATTTGTCTTGGGAGAAATCAGAAGTATATCACAAATAGGGTTGTGAGGATTACATCTTTCTTTCAAGTTTTTAATGATTTATAAGATGTGATTCATATTTTTCCTACGTACAACGTGGTCAGTTTCACACCACCGAGTTCATCAGGGGCTTCAGTGTAATGCTTAGCTCAACAGTAGCACTGCAGGGTTTGAGGGCTGCTCATTTCACAGAGCTGTTTATTTCCTTCCTGTCCATGTGTATGGTTTATGCTGTCACATGTGAAAACTTTGCACTTTTAATGGCTTCTCTGAAGTGTTTGTAGGACTGGGCAACAAAGAAAGCCTTGCTTATTCCTTCTACATATGGTGATAGGTAGTGTTTGGAGTAAAACCTGATCTTTTAATGGCAACATATTTTTAAAGGCTGTTCACTTTTGAAATTTGTAAAGGAAAAAATCAGTACTGACATTGTTTGTATTACAATAAAACCATTTAAAAAGGCAGTTGAAATCTTCAGTTAATAACGTTCTGAATTTTCATCCCATGTAATTTCTTTAATAACTACTATGCTACTTTTTTTGGTGTTTAACAGAAATTTGCACATAGGAAAATAAAAATACAGGTTAAGATTTAAAAAATCATTACTCTGTTTTTCTCTAGTCACTGTTATGACAGTTCTACATTACCAAGTGTAGAAAAATGTGGAGAACAACTGGTACAGAGGTTGTTGTCTGACACACACACAGAGACACACACACACGACATAGTAATTCTGTCAGTGAGAGAAAGGTTCCTCTGTTTGGTCTCTATTACTGGATGAGATGATACAACTGACAGAACAGCTTCATCTGCTTTCCAGCGCTGTGTTGTCAAAGCACAGGTGTAGCAGAACTGTTGTCTGGATGGTGGCTCAGTTACCATGACTTTCACGGTGCCGATTCTTTTAAACATGAACAGTTAGGGTGCAATTTATATGTCATTTTGAGCAGCTGAGATGTGGAGAATTGCTTTTTTAAAAAAGTAGTAAAATGTCTCTGATTTCACTTTTTTTTGTTATGTTCAGCAAGCAGGCACCTTGATTTAAATAAAAAGAATTTTTTTCATGAGAGACAGAAGCTGTGGATTATTTTCACTGTTCCTTAAGAGTGATTTAGTGATTTTGCTTTTTTTTTGTTTGTTTGTTTGTTTGTTTGTTTTGTTTTGGTTTTTGGTTTTTGGTTTTTTATCCACTGATTCTGTAATCTGTGTTGGTTCCACTTTTTGCTACCCAGGAAAATGCATTGTGACTTCACACATCAGTTAAAGTACTTATAGACCTTGATATATTGTATTAAGTACACCGTTTCATTTTGCCAAAAAATAATGATTGCATTTGATTGAAGTGGGCATTCTGTATAAAGCAGCATAAAAACCTTGCTCTAATGTTTGAGGTTTTAGTAGAAATGTTACTTACCTAAAAAGTGTCCAGCATTTTTCCAGTGGTTTTATTTATCAGAATATATTTAGCATTTAAAGATGGCTTGTTAAATGCAGTAACTAACCAAAAATTTGGTAGTTCTGTTCTGCAATTTATTCTGGATTTTAGGACTTGTGTATGTACTTTAATCATGGCCTGTGAAAGCAGAAGCACCCTTAGTGCCTTTCCTAATATATTGGAAATCAATAAATTGAGAATGTAATTTTATTGAATCTAAAGAGGAGACTGTTGGCTGTAAGTGCTGATGTAGCACTTAGTAGATCCTGTCATTCCAGATGCTTAAATAGTACAAAGGCAAAACTCTTTTTGAATTTTGAAAAACATAGTCATGAGGTAAAAGATTTTCAGAAAAAGAACAGGCTTAGTCTATGGGGAAATGGAAAAACATGCACCAGTGTGCTGCTTAGTGGTCTTAGACTTTATTTGTTGTTTTGACTGCTAAGCTATCCCACAGAAAGCCTAATTTATGCAGTAGTGCTTCCTTTTTTTAATGTTCTTTTTAGTACAAGGAGAATTGCACCTGCAGTACTACATACCTGCGTATAAAGATACTTCTGCCTGGAGACGAATGCTTTTCTCTCTAACTAGAGCAGGAAAAACTAAATGGAAGGCACCACTTTGCTTATTCCTAGTAATTACTGGAAATAATAACATTATAAGGCAGGTAAAACATAATGTCCTACTTGAAAAAACTTTTTTTTTTTTTTTTTATTAATTCACCCTAGAATACAATCTTACATATCTTTCCAGAGTCTTTTAATGATTTTTTGAAGTGCTGTTAGCACAAACTTGGAATAAGAAATGTTTGGAGTTTTTTTTAGCATTTGGGATGACTCAAAGGTCACATGGGGTTGTTGTATTATTTTCTTTCTTTTTTTTTTTTTTTCTTCTTTCTGTAAATGTTGAATATTCATAAAATCATTAAATAGTATTGGATAATTAATCTCTGGTCTTTAATATGTTCATTAGATGACTGTGGCCTAACGGGGCATACTTCTCTTACTGCATCATCTTATATTGGTTGTAAATGCAGTTACCTCTGAAGGATAATGAATTCATTTTTCTCTAGTTTTTAGACAGCAAAATTTAATTTCAGTATTCATGTATTTTTGTACTGAAATGTTATTGCTCATTGCTTTTCATTTCTTGTCTTCTAGTTGAAGCTTTATATCAAACCACTTACCCAGAGTATCTCCAGTACATTTACCTGGTGGCTCCAATATCTCTTATGATGCTAAACCCTCTGGGGTTTATCTTCTGTGAAATCCAGAAGTGGAGGGATAATCGCACAGTCTCACACAGCAAAATCAAAATAGTGGGCCTAGCACTCCTTCGAGTTTTGCAGAACCCAATTGTATTCATGGTCTTCATAGGAATTGCCTCAAACTTTATTCTTGGCCAGAAAATTCCAGAATACTTTGAAAACTTCCTTGATGGACTTGGCAGTTCATTTTCTGGCTCTGCCCTTTTTTACCTTGGATTAACTATGGTGGGACAAACGAAAAAACTGACAAAGAGTATGTTTGTTGCACTGATCCTTCTCATCACAGCTAAACTGTAAGTTTGATTTCTGTGCTTGTATAATTTTGTTCTGTAGATGTTTTAAGCTCTGAATACACTGGTCAGATGGCTTTTCTCTCAAAATCATTATAGTGATTGTCTGTTTCACTTGCAATATTTTGGGTGACTCTTTGGTATCATACAACTGTTAACTTGTAAAGGAAATTCATCAGACTGCAAACCGGTTGCTAGGCTCTGCAAAGAAAACAAAAATTGAGTGCTGTGGCTTCATGAACTCTAAATTAGTTTTTCATTGCTCTGTCTATAAATCTTTGAAACTGCTGTACTTGAAGAGCTGAAAAATGGTCACTTTTACACTCTTAAACTATCTGACTTTTAAGCCTGAATAAATGACAATTTGTATTTAGAACTTATGCGTTCATTGTCTTCCCAAGAATATATCTCTGTTACTGGTGAACTAAATATTTGTTACACAGCTACAGTTAATGTAATACAACAATTGTTTGGTGTTTAAGTTTATACTGTAAAATTTGAAGATCCACTCGTATATCTGTACAACGAACTAGCAAAATGAAAGGCTTAGTCTGTAAACCAGCTCAATGACAATTTTTGGGAGAAAAACACGTTTTTTTAATCTTACCGCTTTGCTTTCTTGCTGAGTTTATGTAATTAGCCTGTACATAGTGATCCTGGATGCAGTCTGGCCTGCAAAAGGTGAACAAAATAGCATTGATGCAGGGATTTTTTTTGTTATCCAAAACTTTCATGATGGGATACTTAAGCTTGAGCCCTTATTGTATTTATTGTATTGTAGAAAGGTGATCTAAGTTTCAAAGCTACTGACTGGCTATATAGCTACTATTATTTTAACTGTTGAGAAAAAAATTTTTTTTTTAATATTTTACCTTTCAAAAGCTGAGGTTGATACAAAGAACATGTCTGCACAGTTGGAGTATGTGCTTGTATCCCAGAGTTTGTAATTTTATCTGTATTTTTGTCTGCAGATATTTTGGCTTAACTGCTACCATAGAATTTTGTAAGCAGCTGGTATATGCCATGGTGACAGTAAAGTCAATCTTTCAAACTGATGTCAGTATTTATTTTTCATAAATAGTATTCAGAGTAGCCTTACATTTCCTTTTGGTTCATTTTCTGATTAAAGAAAAGTCTAATGCTATAGCATGAGTAATGTGGTTTTAAAATTATTTTTTTCCTCTCTCTTTTCAGACTTATGATGCCATTTCTCTGTAGAGAAATGGTAGAACTCTTGGACAAGAGTGACAATGTAGTCAACCACACCAGTTTATCAAACTATGCATTTCTTTATGGAGTTTTTCCAGCAGCACCTGGTGTCGCAATATTTGCAAGTCAATTTAATATGGAAGTAGGAATTGTATGTATTTAGCTTTTCCTAAACGTACTGACTTTGAGCTTAACTTCGTCGATGAAATAAGTAGGCTTGATGTATTTGCTTTTCTTTAGTATAGACTCCTTAGATTTACATGTACTCCCTAGGTCTCAAACGTAAACTATATTTTGCATTATTAGTTAAGCAAAGTACTATTTCCTCATGTCTTTGTAATATACATTCAGAAGTAAGTCCTCATACTTTGCTTATTTGTGATTCTAGTAGGAAGAACTAGGATAACTTTAAATATAAAGAACCTCTATCTTTGTTGCTGGTTTGTTGGGTTTTGTTTATTTCTTTCCAAAGACCTTATCTTTGAGCTACTGTTTTGTGTGGAAAAAAAAACCCAGAAATTATGTTGCTGACTTCAGTAACAACAGTGTCAGCTTAATGCTGAAAATTTATGGAAGAACTTATGCTTTAACTGATTCTGTCATGTTGCCCTTTAGCTAAATCTTGCAGTAGAAATACATTTTACTTTTTTTTTATAATAGAGGTTATCAATTACCCTTTCAACTTGAAATATGAATTTTATAACTGTTTCCTTTCTTTCACTTGAAGTGATATTAACACATTCCTGTTGACTTCCATTATATTTAACGCGATCTGGTTTTGGTTTAGTTGTTTTAGTGTCCTTTTTTTTTCTTAAGAAAAAAAAAAGTAAACCTTATAAGACAGAATTTTGTGCCCAGCAAACTCAGGAAATCTCTTTAAATAGTGTGAGTAACATTTAGCTTGAGATCTGATGAACTCTGTTCTTGTTTCTGTTTGACTGTGTTTGCAGATTACCTCAGGCATGGTGATAAGCACTTTTGTGTCTGCACCTATCATGTATGTTTCTGCATGGCTGTTGACCATCCCGTCTATGGACCCCAACCCACTGGCGTCTGCACTCCAGAACGTCAGCTTTGACATAAGTATTGTCAGCCTCATTTCCCTGGTAGGTGCTGATGAAGTGAAACACTAACGCGTGCTGTCGTGTCAGGGTGGCGTTAGCACATGAGCAGCAAACTGAGTCATGATGAGACTCATTTCCTCATCGCATCCTGCTGCAGAAGGTTGAGGGAGTTGAAAGTATTCTTGATATAGTACTGGGTCAACTGGAAAGCTGTGCTGTAGAGAAAGATGGGCAGATGAACTAGAGCACTGGTGCAAAGCTTAAGAGTTTGTCCTTTTTGTTGTTTTAGGTTTTAGGTTTGTTTTGCTTTTTTAATAACAGGGTGTGGGGGAATGACAGTACTAGGTTATGCCCCAGGGAGTAATTACGTCAAGACATGTGAGGTGTTTGCATACCACAGTGATGGAGGCTGTGTGCAAACTTCCGATCCAGAAACTTCCGCGAATATTTCTTTAATGAAGTATTAATGAGTATTAATTAAAATATTTAATTTGGAAATTTTAATTTAGCTTTATCGAATTCCTTGCCTACAAATTCTGTTCTTAAAGAGTCCAGAAGTCCAATGTGAATTGTGTTTTGGCTTTACAGGAACTACAGATAGTGTGTTTATTTTGTTTGCTTTTTTAAAATCATTCACGTTGGAGGGAGTTGGAATTTTCTGACGTTGTTTCACTAAAGTCCATTTGTCTTGAAACTATGCCTCAAGGGAAGCCACAAGTGAACACTGCCTCTTTCTGCCGCAGATAATTTTGGGAGATTTAGGGGAGGGGGGAGGAATTTTAAGTTCTAAATTGCCAAGCTACTCTGTGGTCATTTATGTCCTAAGGAGCAACCATGCTTCTGCACTCTAGAGGCAAATTCTTGGTGCTTCCGGGAAATATTTCACCATCTTGAGAACATAAAGATGCATTGCTTTTTCTGGCCATAATTGCTGAGGCATAGGGACTGGCAGCAGATGGTATGGAACTGACTATAGTGGTCATGTTGCTAAGAAACTCTTAAAGATTTGTCATGTAATTAATTTCAGCGTGGTCTGCCAGCATATTCATCTTGTTCCATTGCATTTTGTTTTACTCTTAAATTCAATTTTTTTCTTGTACATTACAGATCTGGTCTCTTATTGTTATTATTCTAAGTAAGAAATACAAACAGCTTCCTCATATGATTACCACAAATCTACTTGTTGCTCAGGTCAGTAGTAAGAAGAATGCTGTTGTGTGAGTTTTGGGGTTTCTTAAAGACTTGCCATCTATCAAGGGCAGGGGAATCTAATGAGCGACTTTTCTAAACAGTTTCTATGTCTTAAAATACACCTTGAAAAAGTGGGCGTTGATGCTTGTGGTGTGGTCCTCAAACAGAAATGGAAGCAATAAGAATGGAGAGTGACTTCTGAAATACACTTTTAGCTGTTGCCTGTTGAGTGCACTTCTGTATCGGTTCATGCCAATGCCACGTCAGCAATGCCAGGATCGGCAGCAGCAAGCGTCTGATTCTGTGGTGACCCCATTCAAGGAGCTAAATAGAAGACTCATCCTTGTACTGGTTTGGCTCCCTGAAGTGGCTTGCTGAAGGATCAGACAGGTGCCAGTGCTGGTGCAAGGAAGGGGATGTGGGAATACATGGCTGTAGGGCTCTAGGGAAGGGCAGAGCCAAATAGCTCTGGATTAATTTTGGTTGTTATTTAAACTCAAAAAAAAAATACAGGGTAAGTGTTCTTTCTTCCCTTGAAGATAACTGCTGTTAAATTCCGTGAGAGCAGCCTGTGCTTGTAATATATCTGTGTGGTAGTGCTTTCTGAAGTGTTCTGTCGTTTAAAAAAACTCAACATACATACAGTAATCTCTCTGAGGTCTGATCATGGAATCACATTTGAAAAAAGCTGTTTATGAGAATTGCAGGTGCTTTTTGTCAATAACAGCAAAGTTAGCTTTCATCTTAAACATTTTTGAACTATTGTATCACTCTAAAAAAAAAAATATTTCAACCTATTTTTCCAGATTCCTTCAGTAATAAAACTGTTAGATATTCAGTATCAGTGGTTGAAAACTTGTGTAATTATTCACTGGAAAAACATCTGTGGCCTCAGCTTCATGTCTATTTCATTTCAGATAAATGGTTTATACTTAAGTTTTACATTTACTTAGAAGATATTTATGAATTATAGAGTTTTCACTGACTTGCTTTACTCCCAGTTTATCTGAGTCATATAATTGCTGTCAGAAAAATCCCTCCTGAAAATAGCGTATGGTAGTCAGTGGCATAACTGTAATACTGAATTTACTGCTGCATGCTTCACTGATATGAAAACTATTCAACTCATAAAATCATACTTCAGCGAATCTGGGGATGGAGTTTTGAAACTTATCGTAGCTATATTACACTGCGTTCAGTTTTTCTTGTCATCCTGCTTTCCCAATTTAAATGATGGTATCTTACTTTTCTTTCCAGCTTATTGCTTGCATTGGAATGATGGTATGGAATTTCATTGTTAAACAGCAAGACATCACCATGCAGATCCTGGTATTTATATTCCTCTACAGCTCACTTTATAGCACCTACCTGTGGACAGGTATGAGTTTTCTAGGCAGAACTTACGTACTGTAATAAAAGATTAATGTACTGAAATAATTTTATTATATCCTTCAGAGTAATTGTTCTTTTCACTTGTATGAAGTTCTCCAAACAGGCAGAGTGGTCAGCTGCAGCACTAGCCACGCAGGGCTCGGTGGCAGGCACTGCCTCTGCTGTTGGGAGCTCATACCTGGGGCAGGGGTTGTCTTTCCCAGCTACAGCAGCCTTGCTAGCTTGGCACAAAAGACCAGAGCCTGCTCTCCAGGCAGAAACAATTACAGATAGAGCGAATGTGTGGGTTACCCTTCAGCTAGTCAAAATCTTACTGGTGATTTTCATTAACACCAGAGTTTAAGATTTTAATTATTCAGCATTAACTCATTTTTAAAGCTTGTGCCTCCAAAAAGTAGAAAATACAGAATGAAGGGAAATACCAAAGTAGCTTTAACATTTCTTTCCTCTGGCAACTGTAGTTTTCGAAAACCACTGTGTGTGTTCTGCAGGCATAGGTGATTAATGAAGGGATTACTTGGAAGCTTGAAATAAGCAGAATTAAAAGATGCATCAGGAAGCTTGGAGACCCATATGTGTACGATTAAAAAAGAGACTTTGGATAGTCAAAACAATAAATTTATCATTGATTTTATAAAGGACTAGTCGATTTTAAAGAAGTGTTGTAATAGATTGCAACATTGTTGGCTACTTAGGAGCATTGGTCTAGAACTGCTGTTTGATACCTTCAGAAATAGGTTACTTATGTCTCAAATGTTTTTATAACGTCTTTTGTGAGCTTGTGAACCTTCCTAAGCATTTAGAAGTGGATATTTAATATAAAATGTCCTGGCATTTCTTCAGTGTTTCATTATTAGTATGATTTTTTTTTCAGATAATATGCATTTCTCTTTTACTTTCTCAGAATACTACTAGAAAAACAATTTTGGACTATTTGAAGGTCTGAGAAGAATATCTTGCATATTGAGCAGATCACATCATAGGGTTTCCAGAGTCTGTATTTATTAGTTCCTTTTTTAATAAAAAATAAGCCTTTTTTTTTTTTCTTTTTAGGTTTTCTATCTTTCTCTTTGTTTCTGTTGAGGAAGAGAGAGACAGTAAATATTCCCATTGGGTTTATTATCATAGCTGGATGGGGGTAAGTTAATTTAGATATTTTCTTGTAGAATTAGTAAGACCATGATAAATAGGTTATTTTGTTCCTGTTTGCTCTTTCAGAATCCCAACACTTCTGGTGGGAATCTTACTGATTGTTGGTCAATGTAACAACACTAGTATTGACTCTGCCTTTTTCTATGGAAAATATCAGGTATGAACATATTCTGTCCTCATCACTTCTGCCATGTCCAACACATTATTGGGAAATAGTGTTCCCTGTTTGCTTCTTATGTAAGCAGCTTTCAGGCAAAGTGTAGGCTACCATAATAACAATATCATTATAGAATACTTACAGATTGATATAAAAATGTATTCCTGTAATGAATGATTAGGAAAACGTGTTTGAACAAGTACCTTCATGCTTGTGCAACTATGACTGAGAAAAAGAGGGAGTAGGCTTCCCAAGGAAAAGGCTTAGGAGCGGTAATGAATTGCAGAGACCTTTTCCTGATGACTAATTTGTAGTCTCATTTGATAATTATCTAAAATTGTTACTATCCAATAGCTAATTAATGGCCTTTGGTCTATAACAGATAGGATCTACATTACTTGTGTAGCAGTAACTGCTTGCACTGTGGGAGTTTCCTCTGCACAATCATGGGCTGAAAGTCCCTGAGAAAGTTCCCAAACTACTGCTTTTAAATAAATTGTTCCTTTTATCGAAGGATGTAAAGTGCACTAGAGTGGATATCTGCCATATTTTCCCCTCTGTCTTTCTTATGGATATAGAGGCTATGAGTCTTTCAGGATTATTCGTGTGGTACTTTCACAAGTATTATATGGCCTCAGACTGGACTCTGATTATTGGTAGCAGATGATTAGAAGGGAAGGCTAATTAATAGGATGCTCCCCACTGGCAAAAGCATGGAAATTATTGCTGTGCCAGAGGGTGGGTCACTAAACCACATTCCTCTTTGGAATTAAAAGGTACCTGAACAGAACTTAAACTGGAGCACTGGTAATTCTGAGGGGAAAGATGATGAGGGGATGTTTTTGGATTGCATGGGAAATAGGGATGCCCACTTTAAAAAGGAAAAAAAAAAAAATTATTTAGGGAAGGAAGGGCAGTTAGTCTTCTGTACCAACTGCCTTTTCAGTACCACAAGATTCAGGAGCAACAAATATACAAAATTCTGTCTTATTCAGATGCATTTGATAGTATTTGCAACTATTTTCTTCTGTTTTGCATTCTAGTGTATTTTCTTTGCTCTCTTAACAGATAATTACCACAGCAGTGATTCTGTTCATCAGTATATTGATGTCAGGTATCTCACTTATGTGCATGAACAGAAATAGGCAAGAGTCGAGCTATGAGGTGTTGAACCCGTATTCACCACGTAACCAGGTGGAGGAGGCTGAAGGGGAAGGGAGTGAGGGGAATAGAGTTTCAGCTACTGTGCCTCAGTCTTCTGCAGGATCTTCTGCACAGCCTTCTCCAGACTCTTCATCACAGCCATCTGCAGAAACAGGTAGAGAAAATGGGTTTGTAAAAGAACAAATGGCTCGGGATACAATAAAATAATTTTTGAAATTCAATTCTGACCTGGGAAGAACAGTTGCTTACACCTTTGAGTGTTACACTAGGACAGAAGAAAATCTAGATAACTGCCCAGGGATTTAGGTTTATGATTTTAAGGAAAGTTTTATGGTTATCACTGGAAGTGTGGGGGAAGTGAACAGGAAAAAGAGCATATGTATGTTTTTTATGGAAGCAGTGGTATCTAGATAAGGGTGTGATAAATGAAGTCTGCTAGGCATCTTAGATTTCTTATCCACTAACTGTCTCTCTGGGAATTAATTATATACCAGCGGCATTGCTACACAGTATATTTTAATTCTTCTTGTCTGTATGTCGCCTTTTTGATCACTTCCTGTGTGTTTTTCTTCTAGCTAAAAGTACTTGTTTGGCTTCCATGGTGGTAGTGATATGTTAAATATTCCTATATATTAGTACTGTAACCCATTTAACCCTTTGGGAAATTGGAAGAATTAAGTCCGCTTTCTCCTTTTGGGTTATTTTTGAGATACTCTGTATAGAATGTTTTGTTACACTTGGAAAACAAATTATGGTGGTGAAGGAAGATAACTATCCTGTTACTGTATATGCTTAATAGGTTGCTGTTCTTGTCAGACAACAAATGGTGAATTATCCTGTGCTAGAGAGAGCAAAGCAGTGTCAAATGCTGTTGAAAGCAATGTTCCTTCAATTGAGACAGGTAAACCAGTAGTGCCTTCTTGTTTTAGTACTATACACTCTTCCACAACATTTGTGTATAGTTCTCACAAAGAAACTAGGCTGTAGTCCTCTCAGCTCTGCTTGGATAACTTGTATTTAATATTTAATTCAAGTATTGGGCGGTATGTTAGGTGTTTGTTCTATTCTGCCTCATAGTTATTAATCAGTGCTCAAGATGGACAGTTGGGTTTTTTTTTTACCAGCAAGCTGCTTTAACAAGTCCTTCTGAGCATTCAGACCTCTCCATCATTGCCTTGTTTGGATGCTGGTAAATAGAATGCATAACCTGACTTTGCTTCGAGTTTTCAACTTAAACACTTTTTTACATTCTCTCATTCACATCTTGTGTCTTCTAAAAGGGCCTCTGAAGCCTTTGTTGTAATCATGTTTGGTTTTGAATGAGAAACCTGAATGACATCTAAAGGAGCAAGCACTTACTGCAGATTAGACCAAATGTTTATGCCCCTTTACTATTCATGTCTGGGGAAGAGAGATGGAGAAAATTTACTAAGGGGGCTTTAGGAGTCACTGAAATAGAAAAAATGGTTCAAGGTGACTTTTCAGGCCGTGATGGAAAGCTGCATTGCTCAACCCATCCTCATTGTACATCACTTTGAATAAACAAAGCTAGCTGCAGTGCCGCCTTTCTCTTCTGCCAGGTTTCTTTTTCTTGGTGTTTTGCATCCTTAACAAATATGCTTTCATATGCTTTGTTTGGATGCTGCATAAGTTTCAACAAGTCCATTTCACACAAACATTCTTAAGTCTCCTCTCACAAAATGCTAGCCTTCCTCCTATTGCAAACTCCCTTATCTATTAAGTAATCCAGACAAGCATTGTAAGAATGTCTTCTGATGATAGAGGAAGGACAGATTAATTTTCTTATCCTAAAGATAGGGTGGAAAATATCTTATGATTGAGTGGCATTTTTTTTTGACCTGGTGAGTGAACACTTCAGAACTGTAAATCAGTAAAAGCAAATTGTAATGGATATACTTGTGAAAGAAACTTTGGCTGCAGTAATTCCTAATCCTTCTTCTACCCATTGAACTGTTATGACAGGTATATCTGGTAAAAATTCTTAGGTATGTGCTTGCCAGAAAGTTTTTCACTGCCATCTAGAGGAAGATACTCAGAATTCCTTTGAACTCTGTAGCTGGAAGACTAACAGCCATACTCTGTGTGGCTCTTTTGATTGAGAGATTTATGACAGTGTTCTGAAATATCATGTTAAAAATACACTCACAGAACACAAATAAATATGGCTGATTGCCTGTCTGATCTAGAGCTCAACAACACCAACACTAGTTTTAACTAGTAGAAACAGGAGAGTTGATGGTATATTTGAAATATTTATTCCAGAAATTAAGTTTAAAAACTGTTCTGAGACATGGCTGTTTTTTTCATTATTTCTAGTGGTGCTTTCTAACAGTTTACCACAACTTAATTTTGCATTAAACCTTTGAGAGAGAGAAGAGTTCTGTTGCAATGCTTCTTCATTATAGAACCATATGTGAACTACTGTTTCATTTGTGAATAGATGTCTTAACAGGTTCTTGTCAAAGCTAATATTAAATGTTGCATGTGTGACTTCAGTGCAGATACTTACAAGGTAGTTTAACTAGCAAGCTACATTAACAAGTTTGCTCATGGAGTTTGTAAATTAGAAGCCTAACAGAAAATTCTGGCGTGTTTTTCAGCTGATCAGTGTGTGAATCATTGCAGTGCTCAAACCTGTGTGTTGGCTCAAGAGGAACAGCTTCTACAGACCGGGGACAAACAGCTGGCCAGACATGTGCTGCTGTGCTTACTTCTTATTGTTGGCCTGTTTGCTGTAAATATTTTTTCTCTCCATCTTGTTTTAAGTCATTGGGGTGGAATGCTTTTTAGGAAAGCTGTGTAGACAGTCCAGTAAAAATCTTCCAATTACTCACGTAACAATTAATTAATTAGAGGCTTTATTTTGGTCCCTTACTGAAAGGTGGGATATCATAAAATTATTTTTTTTTGTGCCACACCATAAATTAAAGGCAAATTAATATTGATTATATTACTGAGCAAGACACACTGGAGAACCCTAAAGGGAAAAAAAATGGGACTATATCATTTGGTAATTAATTCATTACTACAACACTTCTTGCCATTTTTCTTGAGAGCTAGTCTTCTTCCCTAGACAATAATCAATTAAAAATACAAAACGGATTCTAATTCTGAAGGAGACCATAGAATAATTGTTCCTTCTGATCGTGCTTATATGTGGAACATGGATTTCTCTGAGGTGCTGTAGCAATAAAAAATAATGTAAGACTTTATTTGAAACGGGAAAGTACAATTTTGTTGCTTTTAGTGGTGGTTTAGAGGCAAAACAACTAAGCTGGTGTTGCCAAGCATCATTACTTCCTAGATTTGTGAAGGTGGCTGTTCCTGTGTAAAAGTGTGAAACACCAGAATGTAGTGCACTAGGAATTTTAATTCTTTACTGTGGCAAAGATGATAAACAACTCTCTCTGAATGTAACGTTCAAAGTTGAGCTTCTTGTGGATGACAATTAGAGGGGAAAGTTGTTGGTTTTTTATTTGAAATGAAAAATACCATGGCACAAGTACTTGATACTGTAAAGCAGGACAGTGTGGCACAACAGTGTAGTGTCATAGCTGCTACTGCTACTTTTCAGATTCTGTTAAGTTACAAAATGGAAGATTTTCTGCTCTCGAATTTCCTGTATCAAACATTCCATGCTAATACTTTTTTTTTTCTGGTTTTTATGTCTTCTATATTTAAGAGGTGTGCCAAATGGCAGTCTCTATTTTAGTTGTATCAGAATAATTACATAGACACAATGAACTGAGGCCAGTTACATTAAAGAATGAGCCTTTACACCCAACTGGGTGAACTCTGGAGGTTTTTTCCTTTCTGTCAGGCATCTGAAATAGCTGAAGTGGTATGTGCTTCAGCTTAACACAATCTTAACTATGCAGAAAATATGTAGAAAGGACTGGTCTCAGCTAAAGAGGCCTGAAGACAAATACTGAAATTCTGTCTGGGCTAATATTGTCTGTGTTGGGTTAAAGTATGCTTAAGGCAAGTTCCTTATGTAAACGTGTAAAGGGCAGGACCTCTACACTGGCATGTTTTTAAAACAGAAAAGCTCTTGCTCGGTTTAAGCCTAACTAAAATGATGTTTTTTTTCCCCACTTATTTGTCTATCTGAATTATTTGTTAAATAAAGAAAGTGAAAATTGTGCAAGAATATGTTAGCATGTGAAGAATAAGAAAATGCTTTTGATTTTTAACAGTCAGGTTAGGTTTGTGGGTTTGGTTTTTTTTGTTTGTTTGTTTTTTTTTTTTTTGTTTTTCTTAACAGAATTTTTCCAGTTGTTTGTGGTGGCTGTTCAACCAAGAGCCTGGACGGCTGTATGTGGAATTGCAGTTCTTCTGTGCTGTGTTTAATTTTGGTCAGGTACCTATCAATGTTTGTTCTGAAAATGACTGCTAGTGAATGTTGCAGCAGATGCTATTACAAGCATTGCAATTTGAAGGCCTCAAACAATGCTGAACTTACCAGCTCCTTAGGGTGTTTTGCCTTTTTTTTCCCCAAGTCTTCTCTTTTGTTTTGATAACTTTTTTATCATAATGCCTGTATTCTATGTGCATGAACACTTTCTTGTTAATCTGTAAAGGCTGAAAGTTAGGCAGCGTTAACACACATGCTAGAGGAATATGTTCCAGATCCTTGGACATCTGTACCTACAAGGTGTGCTGCAGTATCAAGTCATGACAGTAGTTTTCGTCCAGAGGCAGCACAAAACCAATGAATTAACTAGAGAGCATTCTAGTATCCAAATTACAGCAAGTCAGGTCTTCTCGTGACATTAACAAAGACAGATGTAAATAACTGGCTATGTAAGGATAGCCAGGTGTCCTTGAGAGTCAGGTGATACGTCACAGCATTAATTTTACCAAACTGTCTCTTGAAGAGTTTCTTTAATGGACTGTTACATATTAATCTGTATTTTTAAGGCCCAAATGAAAAAATCAAAGCAGAAACAAAATGTATTTTGAGTGTTATCTAAAGAAGAGGGATACTTTTCCCATATGTTTTGGCAATGAGTTTTTAACACTTTATTTTTGTTCTTTAGAAGCCAAAGGTTTTGCTTAATGTTGCTTTTTCTATGCTCTTTTCCTCCAGGGCTTCATTTGCTTTGGTATTTTTGGCTTAGATAAGCATTTAATCATTCTACCATTCAAGCGAAGGTAAATAGAATCTTTACACTTACTCCTGTAAACTTAATTATTAATGATCATTTTAAGGGGTATTGAGTGTTCAGTGCTAATGCATTCTGTTTCCTGTTTGTCCAATATTCCAAATTTCTTTCCTCTCCTAGTTGTTGGGAGATAATTGCAGTTCACTGTGCATGAGTTTTTACTGGTGTCCTAATGACACTCCCAAAGACACAAATCCCACAGGCTCCCTACAGACAAGATCTTTGGCAAATGATGGTGAAGTATGTGATTGGATCAGTGAGATGATAAATCTTCAGAAATAATTTAATCTGATAAATTAAAATTTAGATGTGAATTCTGAACCAGATTCTATCATCACTGTTTTAAAGTTCTGTATTCATAACCTCATGCAAGTACTTTGGATGCTTTCACTGTGGAGGCATAAGTTACACAAAGGCATCCTTAACTTGGAGGTAGCTGGCTGTGCTGTGAATCCAGCAGTTGAAGCTTGCTCCCCACTACTCTGTGTTTTTCCTTCTGCCAGAGCCTAGAATAAAACCCTCTCAGTGTACAAAGGCCATGCGAGTACATTAGGAGGATTGTGTATAAAGTATTGCTCACAAAATCAGTAAAACAATTGTGATAGCTTCCTGACTTCCATTCTGTTATTTGCAGTTTCCTTAAAAATGCCTCTGCTTAATCTACTTGTTTGAATTTTTTTTTTTTTAATCTTTTTTTTTTTTTTAAGACTTGAATTTTTCTGGGGAGGAAGAGAAGCAGCAGGACATAGAGATCCCTCTGTACCGGAGGAAATCAGGATGACCTGTCAACAGTTTGTTCACTATCATAGAGATCACTGTGTAAAAAGTATTGTCAGAGGCAGAAGGTAAGGCTTCTCCCTGCACATAGAACCTGTTACAAGGGTCAAAGCTCACCTTTTGGAAATAATGAAATGCAGCTTAATCTGTCTATGAGCAATTCCTGTTGTGACATATATGTTCAAACCTCAAGGTGAGGATTAGGAATTTAGCAGTAACTAATACAGAAATGTTTCTAGTCTCACAGTGAAACGTTAAGGTACGAGTTAATGCATTATGCCATCTAGGTTTTATATAAACCCTAAAAACTTTTATATCACCAGGGCATTGCCCCAGTTTTTGCATTTAGCTAGAGTTTAGGAGGGAAGAATCTTTCTGAAGAAATGTCTATGATAACGCCTGTAATAGAATGTGTGTCCATGTCTTACCAAACTTGAAGCTTCAGTATTTTTCTTTTGAGATTAAGAAGGTGTTAGGTGACTAGTCTGGTGGGATGGGGTGGTCTTTCAAAGCTCAGATAGCCCGAAACCACATTCCAGAAATGTTTTTGACAGCATGATGGTTTTGTTCAGTCTCCTCAGAAGGCAGTAATTTTCCATAAGAAATAAAGCAATAAAGTTATCCATTTAGGAAAAATGAACTATGGCAGTTCAAGGACTAGCTTCTTTCATACCAGACAGAATAGATGTCTCAGGAAATGTTTGTTTTGAAATAGGACAGGTTTTACAGCTGTGTTTCCTGTGCCTCTGTTGCTGTTGTGGTTTCTTGGTATGAACAGCTTTGAGCTGTTCATTTGTTTGGGCTTTGTGGTTTTTATTAATCATATACCCACCTGAGAATACATCAAAATCTGACATCTGTTGCTTCATTGTTTTAATGTTATGTTTGTGTGGAACTAGTTTCATGTCTTATTTGTGAGTTAAAAGAAACAATTTATCTTTCATTTTAAATATTCATCTAACTTGATCCTATCCTCTTTGATTTAAACATGCTGTAACTGAGACTTTGTAATAATGGATTTTTATTTAGGTTTTGCTTCTTTGCTAATAGATGCTAACACTTGCTGTGTTGCTGCTGCTTTAAATTTAAAGTAGAGGAGGAAGTTTGGTTTTTGCTGTTTTGTGTAGCTGTTAATCATCTTTGGAAACCCTGTGCTTGGTTTCCATAGAGCAGATTTTAGATAACCAGAAACATTCATTGCTGCAGGTGGTAAATTTTCAGAATGGTATTTTTACTGCAACTAGGTAGGTGTTAGTGGCATTGCTTCATAAGTATGTAAAAGAAAATTACTTCAGTCTTGTTGTAAAGGTTTTGTATATTCTCAGTACTGCCTGTGTGGTAAATATTTAAGAGGATATGCAAGTGAAATGTTTTGTTTTGTTTGGGTTTTTTTTCCCAATATATGTATGAAGTTAGTGCCTGTTTAAAGCTGTAGAGAAATCATAATGTAGAACTGAAGTGCAGGTTGAGTTTGCCACAGAAATAGTCATGCTAATAAGTACACGGGAAGAAAAGTATCCAAGAAATAGAATTACTAGATTGCATGTGTGTGTTTTCAGGAAAATTGCTACTTATGTTCACTGAAGTCTATTTCATAGTTTCTCATATTTGCACAAGCCTAAAATAACTTTGTACAAACATTTTGCTTCTCATTGGAGTGTCTCTAGGAAGAGGTAGTGAACATTGGCATGTCCCTAATATACAAAATTTACAAAAGCTCTTCCAACATGCTCTTAACTGTCATGATGTCTTTCCTTGTTTCCTGCTATTTTTCCTTGCCTTTCCCCACCGTGCAGTGGTGATACCAGATTTACAGAACATGTGGGTGAATCATTCCTTTGACATACAGGTGTGGTGCAAAGATCTCCACTGGCATCTTCTTTGGCTGTGACCTGGTGAACTGGCTCATGCAAGTTGGCCTTGCCTCTGACCGTGGTGAAGCTGTGATGTATGGAGACAGACTGATGAAAGGAGGTGTCGTCCAGCATATTACCAACGAATTTGAATTTCGGGATGAATATTTGTACTACCGCTTTATTCCTAAGAGATCAGTTGCAGTTGAGAGCCATTGACCTGAGCGTGTAAGCAGAGCACAGGCAGTTAGGGGGGTGTGACCACCTCCTCTGCCTTCAGCATTGAAATGGGAGGTATTTCTTTCTTGGGACTCTCAGAGAATGTGTTATTCTCTCTTGTTAAGAGATGTGGTTCTACTTGTGTCTGTTCTGAAAGACTTGGTAACAACCGATAGTTGGTGAGCGCTCCAACCAGAATGCAACTAGAACAAAACAAGGTTCTCTGGATGATCATTTTTTCCATTTTTAACAAAACAAATAGTAAAATGGCATGTGTCACTGTTGTGTTATAGAGGCGTTATAACAGCAGCTTTAGTGACTGGTGGCACAGTGGGGGGGGAAAAAAACCAAATGAGGTATTTTTCATGTTGCTCAGTGTTTTCCATATTTTAGTGTGATGAAATATTGATTCCTGTTTATGGTCTGGCTTCCCCCAACTTCATAGAAGAAGGATTTCTTCTATCATACCCCAGTTTTTACTACTCTGTTCTTCTCTACCAGAAACTTTTTCTAGCTGTTTACACCTCAGATTAGGTGGTTTGTTTCTCCCTTAAAGATAAAATCCTCTATTTGTAAAAGTAGAATTGTTGTGAAGATAATTGCAACGTCAGAGGATTAAAGCTAAGGAAGTACCAAGTGGAATAAATAATGGTTTTGTAAAAACTTAACAAATTTTAAGAACACATAAAAATACCCACCACTCCCCCAAATTAGGGAATGATATAATGGAATTTAATATAAACAACTGGTCCTGAAGTTTTGCCTTATGTAACAGCTTTGTCAAGAGCAGATTTTTAACTTCTGAAATTAGCCTTTCCCATTTAATTCAGAAGTGCCAGCCTCAAATAAAGATGTTATGGAAGCCTTGGACACCTGTGCAAGTCAAGACAATAAAAAATAATCAAATAGTGCAACTTTTTCAACAAAAGATAATTACTTTTAAATCCATTATATAAATTCTAACTGAACATCCAAGTTAGGGTTTAGCGTGTAGGTAAAGATCCTAAAATTTTGGTATTGGTTGCCTAGCACAGGTTTCTAATAAGCCTCAGGTACCTTTCTCTGATGTTTAAATAGTGACTTCAGTGTCATTCAGATTCCTGGGCACTGAAGGCAGAGTCTGAGAACCTGTGTGTCTTCTGCACTATTTTGAAAATGGTAAAGACAAAACTGTAGTATCTGATAGCAATTGTGTTGTCTTTTTAAAACTGCATGGACAACATTTATATAATATACAAAAATTTTATATAGTGACGGAAAGGAACCCAAGTATTAAAAAAATTTTTTTTGCTCAAGCAAATTAATAACTTCACATCCTGTTTTTAAAAGTCTTTGCCTTTTTTTTTTTTTTTAGTACACAGGTTTTTTATTATACCTACTTATGCATCTACTTGGTATTAAGAATTAAGTGATTTTAGCAGCATAAACTACTGTTGGAGCAACAATTGTTTTGTGATAGCTATGACTCCATGCAAGACTTACACTGAAAAAATAATTTGTTTTACTGTCAGTCTTGTTTCACTCCTGTAGTGTGCACAGAAATAGAACTATATCTTACTGCATAAGTATGCTATACAAACTGACATATTTTAATGTTTTCCAGCAACAGAAAAATTGATATTTGTATCAGGCTGTGGTCACAAAGGAAAACAATAGTGTGTTTCCAGCTGCTGAAGATGGCTACATCAAATATTTTGTAATAGTTAGATCTATGTGACTTAAGAGCAGGAGTCATGAGTATGTCTGGCTTCTAAATCCTGTAACTTGTCAATAAATCTGTTACTTGATTTCAGATTTCTGAGTGTTGATGTGAGGTATTGGGAGGGTTATGTGTTCATGTCAAGATTTACGACAAATATGTTTTTTTCTGAGAGATTTGTTGAAGTGGCTCACAGGTTTCAAATTTGCTATTTCTTAAATCCACCCTTTAATACTTTTTGAGTAGGCCGAGGACTTGTTAACTGGTGTTCACACAGAGATACCAGTTTTCATCTAACAGCCTAAACAAATTTTAGGCGTGTTTCACATTATATTTGGTAACTACTTTTTAAAAAAAAAAAAAAAAAAAATTCTTTAGATGTTCTTAGGTGAGTTTTATGGTCCTATGCATAGTCATTGTTCTTGCATTCCTTTCTCATTTTATCATAAAGTCCTGCCCTTGTCTCCTTTTATAGAGGGATAGCTCTTGCTATTTGCTAGATTTTAACACAACTTACCTGTATTAAGTAAGAAATTGCTGAAAATTTCTGCCTAGAGAAGGCTCCCTGTTACAAATTTAATGAAGAGAGCACCTTTAATTAACAACTGATACCAAATTCTGTTAGATTAACTGTTACAACATTATGACTGCTGATAACATGCCCATTAGTCCAGTGAGAGTCTATGGGGGTTAATAAATAGACTAAAGAAACTAGGAATGAAATATAGTATATGAAAATCTATTTCTAAATCACTGGGTATTTCTGGAAGCTAAGAATAGACTATTAATTGCTTTAGTAAGTTAAGTAACTCTTTTATCTGATAACTATTTGCTTCCACCAAGCAGTGCTGAAAAGTTTTTAAAAACAGTTGACAATTTGATGTATGTCAAGAGTTGATCTACTGACGTTTGAATTTTTGGTGGTTAGAAATAGCTTTGGTTTAAAGATGTGGTCAGTGCTACACTGAGTGCTTCTATTTCGAAGGTGGATTATTTTGGGATAAATCTCCGTTAACTTGGAAGTTACAGTTCCACGAAGACATCCACTGAACAATTAATTCCAGAGGAGTTCCAGGGAAACGCTGGATCTTTTTTCTAGAACTAATCTCAAAATAATTGTGATAATGGACAGGAATGGATATAAAACTTTTAGTTTTCTAGATAGTAATTTTAGAACACTTTTTTTCCCCAGTAACGATCCTTCCCAAAGGTCTAGCCAGGCCTTTTGAAATGTGTAGCAAGAGGCGCTCCAAGTTCAAATCCATGCAAAGGATGCCCTCTAGAGGACTTTCTGATTTTTATCTTTTTTTTCAGATCGGTTGTAGGAGGCAGGGTTATTTATTGCTCCTGATATCGTCTTCGTTTTGTGTTTCTCCACTGCATGTGTTCTAGAAGGATGAAATCCCAAGAAAAAAAGGTACCAAAATATCCCCTACTCTGTTGGCCATCACTTGATCTATTTCCACACATCACGTTTTTACTTTATGTTCTGTAAACCAGTAAATAAAAACCAGAACAGAAACTAGAGGAACAGTTGGACTATATCTGCCTATGTTACAACAAAACCTATATGCTTAACCTGGTTAATTGCCACCCCATGATAAAGTACCTGAGAAGTTCACTTAAAGGCCTGCTCCCCCACCTTCACCTCTTTCAGCCCTGTGTACCTTCACTATTTTTGCACTGTAGCATAAAATTTTTTCTCATTTTGCTATGCTACCTGTAATTTTGACTCATACCTTGCTTTCCAGCACAGTTTTACCTGGCACTTATTGATGTCTTTGCAGTTATCCAAGAGCTAGTGTAAGACAGCTGATGATCAAAAATAGGACAAAGATATACACAATTGTCAGATACAGACAATTCAGGAGGAAAGTGAGTAAATACAGCAAAATTTTGTTACAACACGCCTTCCAGTTCACTAACATCCACTGTACTACTGAAGTGGTAAGAAATTTGGTTGGTAACACAGGCACAAAAGATTCAGTCAACTAAAGCTTACTTTCAGTCTTAGCTGCTACTCAATCCTACTTGCTACTGCTGCTTGGTACACCTCGGATCAATAGAATTAGAAAGTTAGAAAACCTTCCCTGATCCAGTAGTTTCTTGCCGTGGATCTGAACACAGTACCCCAAATTAAATTCTACTTTCATTGTACAACCAGGAAGAAAAAATTCTAACAAGCTCTGTTTTCTTATTCTGCAAACTTCATTGTATAGGTATTTCATTTGCCTATACTTAACTTTTTTACCAGTGGGAGGATAGAACAGCTTATAAAAATGAGAAAACTGCTCATGTGTAGCCCTGTCTTTAGCATCTGAGACTACTCTAGACACTGACTAAACATGGAAAAACCGTCACATTTGCTGTGTCTTTCTGTGGGGATGCTGTCATGTCACATACTGCTACTGCTGCTCTGCTGCTTCATTTCATGTTACAAGTGCTCTTCTGAAGGTTTGCAGAAGCGCTGGGTTGTGGGTTTTTTCCTTCCAATCATACTTTTATCCTGCTTGATCATGTATTAAAGCCATAATCTTCTTTCTTTTCACTTATAAATGATAATAAAAGTAGCGTCACCCATTGGTCATTAAACAAGATCATGGAAGGAAGAGTTCCTGCCAGGGTAAAAAGCTTGATTAAATTAACTCTACACTCTAGTAGTTTTGGCAAGACAAGGAATGGTTAAAAGGCTGGTTATCAATTAAAAAAAAAGTATTAGTCCTTTTTGGTGTCCTGATGAGTACCTGTGTATATTTGTGTACCCAAACCTCTTCCTTTCTAGTTGCCTGATTTTAAAAAAGTAACAATTCAAGAAACTTTTAAAAACTCCCACATGATGTTATCAAGTGTACTGCAGAATTAATCTGACAATAATTGTATTTTATGTAAGTAAGTTACTTTATTTTTTTGTATTAGGGTGGGGAAAGTAGACAGGGAAGTGAAAACCGTGTGGTAACTTGCAGGATTCTTGCATTGTTTAATTCCACATAAACATATTTCACAACAAATCATGGTAGAATTTTAACTGATTTGGTTTTAATAAACCTTGACCTCTTAGCCTCATTTTACATTGAAAAAGGTTCACATATGACATGTATCTTAGAATGGTTTTGTCAAACAGCTGAGTATCAATTTGAGTTGACTTGCTTATCACTTTCCTTTCTGTTCAGTGCAAGAAATAGGTCCTATCCTTTAGGAAGTCCTTCAGCATAGCCATTTTAATTCAAGCCATGTGAAATGCTGCTACGATTATCTTGACTATAAAAGCTAAGTGTGTGTATGCTAGAACTTAGCCCTCCAAATCTGAGTTAGCGTTCCTCATCCAGACAGGGTTGCTCTGCAGTTCAGATGAGCTATTACATTCTCATTGCATCTCCTCTTGACAAAATCAGTATCTGCTGACAGCTTTGTCACGTACAGACAAAGCCACTGCCTAACTCTTAAGAGCCTTTTCAGCATTGCTTCATACAAACAAAAGCTGTCTGGCCTGAACATGAACTGTCCATACTAACCGGTATATGGAAAATAAGTTGTAATCTATATAGCCATTTGATTAGAAAAATTAATCCTAAAATTGAATTTTGCCAATTTCAAACAGTAGTTTTAGCTATATATTTTGAGTTCTTCTTCTACACACTGTGAAAAAAGGTTAACCACTTGGTTCATGTCGAGACATCCATTTTGCAGGATTGATTCCATTTCACTGAGCTTCCGTTTCTCCAACTCCTGTATCTCTTTCAGCATCTGTTTACCTTGGTCCTGCAAAAAGAAACGTCTATTTCACTAAAAATTATACAGAGTACGTAGTGCTCACCCTAACAAAATTCTGTTCTGCTGTCCTTACTCTCACCTCTTAATAGTTTCTAGGATACAAATTTGTGTTGGTAGAAGTTAGGACCATGACAACTTTTCTTAGATGTCTTTTCTGATATCTAGCACTCACTTTATCTCCCTGCATCTTTGTCTGATGGATTGAAAATAAACAAAATGAAAGCTGCTTGAAGTATTTATGCTATCAAAACTTAAGTGGGCATATGTCTTATGTTTTAGAACATGTCTCTGTAGCTAGGAGAGCTGCTGATTTTTGATCATCAACTGTTCTACACTAAGCAACTCCCACTCTGCTTCACCTTCATGTCCAGCTATCTTTGTGATCTTATTTCCTTTCCTGTCCATCCAAGCAATGACAAAAGGCATGCCCTGCTTACTGCCTGAGACCAGGGTCCTGAAGTTCTAAGTGCTCCTGCCAGGGGTCGTGCGTTTGCCTGCGGCTGCTCAGGCATTCCCCATTATCTGACTGGTGCAAGGCTATGTGTGCCCTGCTGCTTTGCAAGATGAGCCCTACAGATACTTGTCTGGGCCTAGGCCTGGGAGTACAACAAAGTGCTAGTTCTCATTTTTAGTGTTTGAAACATATGCCTGCCAGATGCCAAGACAACGGGCTTCTGCTGCACTATGCAGTTCTTTGCGGTCCATCAAAGGGCATTAAATGGTATCACATTAACAACATGTGAGCAAGGAACTTATATAAACCACCTGCTTGCATTGAAATCTAATTTAATCAACGTACCTTGGTAGTTTCCATAACTACAGCAGCACTTTCATGTTTTTTATAGAGCTCATGTCTTCGATCGGGCTTAGTCTGAAAACGTGGTTGCTTCTTAACTGGATCATCATGACCAAATGTAGGGGAGCTAGTTTTTAATAACTGAGTAATACTGGGCACAAAAATAAAAGGCTTGAATACAGACCTAGAAAGAGAAAATAGAACAGAGATCCTTTCCCATACAGTTTTGTTAAAATTGTTGAGTCAGTAGCTTGCTGTATACTTCCTTATTCTTCTAATTCCTTTTTTAAAAAAGAAGTCTTAGTTTAAAATAAAAGAAAAAAACAAACAAAACAGTCAGTGTCATAGCAGTATTTCACTAAGTAAGTTGGTAGACAACATTAGTGTACATAATGTACCTTATGTTCCTTCTTGTGCTTTTTCCAGGGGAAAAGAGAATAATAAAAAAAAGGAATTAAATTACATAAATCGCAACACTTTTTCATTTAGATATTTGCAACTTTTTATCATAACTACTTGCTGCTACACCACCTTGCAGGATCTGGAGTTCCAGTAAAGAAGTGAACACACGGCAGATTAGGCTGCTGAGGCAGTACAGACACCATGCTTCCAGTTGTCATAAATTCACCTTCCATATTAATGCCACTCTCTTTGTCACGAAGAATTTCCATCATTACTTCAGATGTGATAGATCCTATTTAAGATACAAGACAATCATTTACCCACAGTGCTACTTATAATATCAACTAAATGACAAGCTCTGTACAACTGGCTGCTTTTTCCTTAAACAGGCAATGACAATTTTAGTTTGTCTTTGTTGGCAGAAAAAAAAAGAATCATCCTAACAGCATAACTTAATAGGTAACACACTTAAAAATATTATTGTCTTCCCCGAAGTATTTATTTCAAAGAGTAGGTGACAATGAGCTATAACATTTATGACTTAGAGAAGAGGGAGGACAACACCACATGATGTTTCCTAGAGAGGTAAAATACATATGGCTAGCAAATGATCATTAACACAGTAACTTTTCAGATGAAAATTAGTAGCTTGGATTAAAGGCTGAACTTGATGAGCACTGCGTGGAAGTAAAGATAAATCACCATAGCAGTTACTGGCAATTGTACACAGTTAATACCATCGTGTTGCTCTGGAAATTTTAAAAAAATAACTCTGCATGGATTTTGTGTGTACCTTTGAAAGTGAAACACCAAGACTGTTTGGTTTGGTTTTTTTTTTTTGTTGTTGTTGGTTTTTTTGTTTTGTTTTTGTTTGTTTGTTTGTTTTTTAATCATCCAACCTTCAGAAGCACTTAAGTTTCAAGCTGACAATTGAAAGGATGCACTGGGCTAACAACACATTCTCTACTCAGCATCAACAAACGACAACAGTACATCCATTTGTAAAGTCTTAACTACCAATGTGAAGTAGAGTGCCAAATGTCTCTAGGAAAATAATTCTTTCTTCTCAGTTAGGTGGAACAAAACCTTTTCCACATCTGCCATTGCATCTAGTGTTCAAATGACACCACCATTTTTAACAAGGTGCCATCTCCCATTTAATATTTTAGTGTTTCCCTCACTGAAGTTCTAGCTGCATAAAATTAAATTTTTAAACTGCTTTGCTGTTTCCTCTTAAAGCAATCACTCTGCTGCTAAGTCGGATGTCTCCAATATTGTTTTTTTAATACACGAATCAAATTGCCTGTAGGCAGGCATACAGCACTACATTTCACCAAGAAAACATTCTTAAGTATTCCCACAGTTGACTGGGAAAGTCAGAGAATTCAAGACATCAGCAAGCTAGATGAATCAAAGAAATTAAAAGAAGCAACAGACAGTTTGTCAACTGCAAGCAGGAAAGAAGGTATTGTGTATTTTCTGCTAGACTCTTTTTTTGTCATTTTGTGTTCCTGAAATGTTCCCTACTTTTTTAAATGTATGTAATATTTATCTAAAAATGGTCTTTCCATGGTAGGCAGCCTGGAAAACTGCAATGCCACTGAATGACAAAGCTGGGAAGGACAGATTAAGAAACCAGTGATTTTACTGATGCTGTAAACCAAATAGCTTTTAGTTAGGGCACCTATTTAAAACAAACCTAAACAAACTGAAACCATATGAAGCTGATAGCCTGAACAACCAGTGTGATTTTTAAAATGGCTCAGGTAAATGCCTGAAAATGGGGATTTAGAATGAAAACACTGATAGAATCTCAGCATTGTTGTAATACAAGTAAATACAGGTATTATGAAAATGCTTTCAGTATTCAGAACCTGCAATTCCCAAAATGAATGTGGGATTTACACAATGACTAGAGCAGGATAGCAAAAGGTCATTCATTCTGATGCATTAACTAAATGCTAAACCTGGTCTGGCAGAGCTCAGCCAAATAAATAAAAAAAAACATAGGGGTGCAATGTAATTTTGGTTCAGATTAATTACTTCAAATGAGCAAGTGAATACAGATGCAGCAAAAACCTGCCAGGTGGATTCAGTCAGAAGGGAAGTAATAGCTTCTTTCTACAGAGGTCTGAAAAATAAGGCACTAAGTGATTAGAAGCACCTGCTTAGAGTACAGAAAATTATTTTTTTCTGCTCTCAGTGTCTTTTATCACACTGCACAAGGTTAGAGGAGCAGTTCTAGTGAAACTACAAAGATTTAAAAAACAATCTCAAATATAAATTGAAGATACACATCCAAATGCTGAGCTGTTGTCCTAGGCCTGTACGAATGGTAAGACTGAAGATGTTCATACAGTTCTGTTTGTTGCTGCAAACCACCGGGATTCTGTTTTAACATCTATTTTTTTCCTTTAGAAGTACAGTAATAACATATACCCTATCAAAGTGTTTTAGAGCAGGTCTTACAGAGTATTTAGTGGTATGGTCATAATGTGACCTCCCATGTTTTTACTGTAGCTGTGTGTTTTTGATATTTGGCCCTTGTTTTAATTTTTCCTCATCAACAAATTGGCAAAAATGGATAGAAGTTTTCAAGTTCAACCTTTCTCCTTTAGGCAGAAAGTTCTCAAGTAAGTTTTGGTTCACCAAGTCTTGTGAATGAGTACCTGTATCAGATGTCTAATCATTTATGAATTTAATTAATGTAGCTCACTAAGTGCTTTGCATACCTTTTTAAAAAAAATATATAAGAAATGATACCTTTGTGTTTGTTCAGAAGTTTATAGCCTTCGCAATATCGGCTTCTGGATGTGGTCATTCTGGCAGTGTTTACAAACGAATATGTGGCAGCGAAATCAAATTCCTTTTCCCCATCCCACCAGCCCTTGCTTTTGGCATATTCCTTCAATTCTGGGTGTTCTCTGTCAATCTTGGTTGTGATAGACAGCTGGTTGGAAATATTCCGTACACCTCCTGTTCGTAAGGTAAGGAAAGGATCATTTTAAGACACTGAATGCTTTTTCTTGATATTTTGTTTATATGTAGCTTGCTAAAGCAAACTATGCACTGAAGAGTTTCCTACAAGATGCCCGAGCCTTGTGGTTTATTTTTGGCCCTCTCTCCTTGGCTATATGCATCCTTCTGTTTGAAATTCCACTGCCACTCAGTTCTGACTCATACTTCTATTGCCAACATCAGGTTCTGTCCTGATAATTCTCATATTTACGTTCGTTCTTAGACCTCCAAAGCCACAGCTTGTCCTTCTAAGGCCACTGGAAGAATCAGCCTCTTCCAGGCTCAATGCACCAATCCTGTCACCAAATGAAGCTGTCACTGCCACCACTGTTAAAACCATACATACTGCTGTCATTCCCATGCTGACTTTCTTACTGTCCTCTGTTTTACAAGTGTGGAATCGTGACCTGCGGAGCGGGGTGATATGTTTTGCTTAGCATGAACAATCAGTACAGGCCTTAGTTTCTCATAGGCCTGAGAAAGTCCATGAAACAACCTTGAATTAGGAGAAGAGCAAAACAATGGGAGATAAGGAGCTCCGCTGGTGGTTCACCCAGACAAGACTGATAAACTTGGCAAGACTAAATTCAACAATCTGTACAGTGACATAAAGGCTTGCAGAGCACGTGGACAATAACTGTTATCCAATCTGTAGCTCAGCTTAGGCATGTGAACAGGCTTGTTAACCTATGGGGTCTGGGGGGCTGTCTCTTGTCTACTACAAAAGGCTGTAATACTTTGCAATAAATGGATTCGACTGTGAACCCCTACGGAGTATGCGTCTTTTCTCCGCACCCCTTCCCGACATACAAGTGCAGAATTGGTCATCTCTGAGTCTGAAAAGGCCCCCTGTGACTTGGCTCCTCTGTGGAACTGCTAGCCACTCCACTCTGATGCCCTGGGAAGCAACTCGTGCTGTTTACAGGCACATGTACATATCTGGGGGCTAGTCTGATGCCTTAATGAAATGGTAAATGAAAAGTGGAGCACTCCTAATCATCACTGTATCCCAAATGTTTAAAATTAAGAGCACCATCTCCCTACCTTCTACCTTTTCTGCTGCCCAGTATTTTCCTGATGTCTCCAGCACCCATGCTTCCTTTCTGTCGGCGATCAGAAAACTGTTATGGTATGTAAATGCCACTTGACTCTCCATACAATTTCCTCCCTGTCCATATTTTTCTAGCAAATCAACTATGACAGTAAGAGCCTTTTCAGCTGTGTCCGCTCTCTCGAGTCCAAGCCTAAAACAGAAGGAACATGTTATCTTTGGAATTATAAACTTTACATACAACTATTCGGCCTGAGTTTTCAAATTAACTTGCAATGCTATTTCTGTGTGTGACTGTCCTGGTTTCACTGGGCCAGAATCACAGTCTTGCCATCACACTCGGTATAGAAGGGGAAGTTTGCTGATTCTGCTCCTCAGGACTGCTTTCCCGTTTATTATGACCACTGTACATTTGCTGGGCTGAGTAGAACTTCATTTACTTTATACTGGCATTGATATTATTTTGGCTGTTTCATTAGATCTGTTTTCATTTTGAACTGTAGGTTTTCTTTTCCTGACACCCCTTCTTGGCTGGGGAGAGGTCATCAGGTGATAAAGCAACTGTTGCAATTTAGCCCTGGATACAGGCTAAATAGAGACAGTACCTGATGTTGGTACGATCTGGTAAGGGAAAGGAGCGAGTCATCTAAAGGGGTTTTTTGAAGTGAGTCCTCTGTGTCCTTGATGTGGGGAAAAACAGCAAACGGAAATATGAAAAAGCTGCCAGGAAACACCTTCAAGTTTTAGACTGGGGGGAAACAGTACCAAGGAGAATTGACTGAGTGCTGTAGATCAAGGGGAGTTAAGTTACACTGGCACCCAGTAAGGCAGGCATAAGAAGTTGTCGCTGTTTACATGGAAACGTGCGGCCAAGACTGAAACTTTAAAATACGTGTGTGTGAAAGATAGAGGAAATAGGAAATTGGTACAGACCCAAGAAAAAGGCCCGAAGACTAGTTCCCAAAGTTTACCTGTGCTCTTGTTAAAAGTCTTGTTTCAGTTTAGCATAAACCTTGTAGAAAGAAAAACGTTTGGCCATTTCCTTGTCAGATTCTGCTCTAGCACCTGATGCCTCCCCCAGGCGCAGGGCAGGGATCTGACGCCTGTGCCAAGAAGTACTTATTTTTAACCGCGACTGGAACAGCAAAAGGGACAGGTGTGTCCTCTGAAGCACCTATTCCCCCGTACTACACTACACTCGAAATTCCCGTTTCAAAATAAATTCCGAATTCGGTACCATTTACCAAAAGAGGCGGTGCCAACCTTACGAGGTCCATGCCGAGAAGCGCTTCGCGGTAGCAGAACTCGTCTCTGCCCCACACCGCCTCGTTGCCGATGCAGACGCCGTGCTCGTTGGCGCCCATCTCCGCACCCCAGAGCCAGGAGGGCCGGCTCAGCACCACGGCGTGCGTCCGCGCCACCTGCGCGACCGACACGTAGGTGCACTGCGGGAAGTCAGAGCACACAGCGGTTACCTTTCACCCCGTCGCTTGCGCGAGGGTCTCCCCCTTCGCTAACCGGCCGCATCGCCGGCGAGAAACACGCGGCACGGGGCGGGCGGGCTTTGGGGTTCG